CCCCAAAACCCCAAAACCCCAAAACCCCAAAACCCCAAATCTAACCACTGAGATTGAAAAGTCTAGCATTTAAAGCCCATTTTTTAAGTCATCTTCGAGAATATTTACTATTACGGATTTTATAAGAATTATAAGTTATGCCTTCAGCCAGTCATGCTGCTCGATCTCATCAATAGTTATCCTGTCCTTAGGGAAGGGAGTCAGCATCCTTTGGATCAAGTTTTTGAATTCTTCAGAAATCTGCCCCTGTTCATCAAGCTCTTTTGCTTGAGAATGCACTCTCCAGAACCTGTCTTCCTTCCTTTTGAAATAAAAAGATCTGTATCAGCTATCCCTTCAATTAGCGTTAACAAATGGGGGAATGCCTACGACCATCTCGAAAAGGAGGACTCCTAGGGAGAATATGTCTGCCAGTTTCAGATTAATTCTAATTTTTGGCCTATCTCAGTCAGTCATGCCACCAAACTCATGGAACTCCATAATCTTGGCTCTAGCATCAAGCATCTCTGGGGGTACATATCCCTGGGTGCCTTTTATGTCACTAATACTAGAGATTTCCGATTCACCTTCATGGTTAGAAAGTGTCCCGGAATTTAAGTCAACCGAGTGACCGAAATCGATCAGTTTTACTGTTTCGTCGTCTGATAAGAGAACATTCGGCAGCTTTATATCCCGGTGAACGATATCCCTATCATGGAGATATTTAAGAGCGCTCACTGCTTGCCTAAAGTAATGACGTGCATCACTCTCTGTGAACCTTCCTTGGGCCATCAGAGCCATGTGTAAGTCTCCTTTTTCTTCAAAGTCAGTGATCATGAAGGCATTTTCGGGCTTAATTCTAAGCTCTGCTTCACTTTTTGATGTAATTTTGACTATATGTTCAAGAGGGATAGGCTTGATGATATTCTTATGATCAAGAGACTGGAGGAGCTCTATCTCCTTCAATATTGTATCTACCTTGCTGTACGGAAACAAGGAGACCTTCACAGCGTACTTTTTAGCAGAAAGTGTCTGACAACCCGAATTTTCTAACACATTAGCTAAATAAACTTTAGAAGTCGTGGATTTTTTAAATCAAACTTCGTCTACTGTATCGATATCAGACATTTCAGTGCTGGTGTCTTCTGCTTGGACATGGATTCCAAATCTTTCTAACCATGCTACTTCTTTAGGAGCCAGTTCTTGTTTATGAGTTTCCATATTCAAAGCCAATCGATTTATTACTTTAAAATTATATCAGTCAGGATTTGAGTAATTGGGGTTTTGGGGTTTTGGGGTTTTGGGGTTTTGGGGTTTTGGGG